AACAAAAATTGGAATCAGTCTATGAAATCTCTGACAGTTAGTTTGAGCCAGTCAAATCGGGAGGTGTAGACTACCTGACTGACAGGTTGGGGTCGTCGAGATGCTAGGAACCAGTGTAACTGGATACAATTGGTGCTTTGGTTCGAATTGTTCTCAATGGAACAGATGCATTCACTCTGTAGTGCTTTTCCTGGTTACTGTTTTTTTTAACCCCACTTTTTTCAAAGTATAGGAGAGGTGAAATAGTTGATTACGAAAATAAAGACAGTTAATTAGAAGTTAGCAACGCGTTATTAAATGACCAATAATTTGGAAAATAATGATGACTGAGAAGAACAGATTGATCGAACTACGCAAGAATACGAAGATACAAGCAAGCTAAGTGAATTAGCTTAAATACTATTCATAACCAAATAACAATATCAAATGATGGTTACAAGGACAGGGAAGATAATTCTGTAAAATTCTGAACATATTATGTGGATGGCCACCGTAAAGAAAGGAACTCCACGAAATCCTTTCGAAAACACAGGTTTTATTTGTTCAGATGAATTTCAAAGGTCCCTGGCTGCATGTAAAAGTTGTACTCATAGACCATTCAAAAAGTTGTGTGAAATACAATGAATAACTTTGAAAGCTCTATTAGTGTCCACTTGATGTCTTGTACCAACAAGATGAGCTAGTAATGAGATGCGTATCACTTTATTCACTCCTTTACCTAACCAAGATGCCTGGTGTTCAGAAATTCCAGGATGAACTAGCCTAACGTATGTTCAATGTACCTTGCTTCACAGAAGCAGTTAAACTGGTAGATACACATAGAAGAGGTGAAATTAGCTAGTTTGTCTTTATTTCGTGAACTGGGTATTGGTTGATCAGTGAACGAACAACATAATTTGAATGAGTTAAAAGTTGTTTTGAAAGTGGTCCTCAGTCATTGTGACGCAATCTCATTATTCACATCTCCTATTTATTGCAGACTTCGGAACTCTAAGCACCCTGAACGTAGTACTATCTGAATCCAGGTGTTTATTCAAAAATCTCATTCGACATCCGTTTCTACTTAGTTGATTACGAATATTATCGAGTTCTTTGCTGATTATTCCTTCCGAACAAATAATTCTAGCTTCTAAGTGTTGGTTTTACAGAGATCACAAATTGACTTTAGTTAGAGAACTAATGAAACCTTGAGACTACTGGACAGTTGTTGTCTTGTCCTTGTTTAGAACTATTTAGCGATATGTACCCATGACCACACAAGGCCCCCTCCCTGGAGCGGACTTGAACTGTAATACTTCTGTGCAAAGTTCTATACTGGAATTCAGTCTTATCTAACGGGAAAAGAAACACTAGTCATAAGTCAATTCAAAGGAAGTAATATACGGATCAACATTGTCGCTTTCAGCTATGCAACTCACAGGAGTTAATTTCTATTCATACAGTTTATTTTATGTTTATTGATATACTGTTTTACCTACAGTAATCAAAAGGAAGAAAAGTGGACTACATTCTCTCCACCCCTCTCTCTCTCTGTGACTAAAGTGATGTGGCTTATATCCTATTGTAGGAATCAAATACCTGACTGATGTTTAGCATTGTAATGTTTGACTTTATTTTCAATGTATCCTAAAAAGATGTTCAATACATATAAAGTATTTTAAGTTTGATTACGGATTAATGTCAGTTCGAGAACCAATGAAAACTGCAATGTTACTGCAATATGCAGACATTGATTAAATGGAGAAAATACTTAAATGAAAATTCGTCAGGCTTTTTCAGAATGTGAAAGATAAAATGAAAAGGATTTAATACATGATTCTAATTGTGAACAATTCGAAACTACCACCTTACCAAGAAGTTTACAATCATTGATTTACAGCATTCAAAGCATAGAAAGGAATATATTATTGACGGACATATTCTACTAAATCAATTAGACATTTTTTCGAGTGGTAAGTAATTTCTTTTTATTACGCGGAAGTCAAATAAAGATACACTGGTTGTCAACAGAAGACATGGTAACTCTACACATAAACCCACACATGAATGCTCAAGTCCTACCAAAAGTGCATGGATTAACACACCAGTATACACAATATATGAATGTGAAACAAGAGAAGACTAATATATATGCACAGAAGAGAAAACGTAAATGTTTATAGTTGCATCAAGTGAAAATGGATGATATTGACTCCAGAGATGTTTAAAGATGATGGTGACGAACAGTTGTCAGAATTAACTAAGATGTTAGTTAACGTCTGCGAACCCGGGACAGTCCGGTAAAACTGGTGGAAATCACCGATTATTACAGTTTATAAGAAGGGAGGCAAGTTTTCCTATAAGAATCATAAAGAGATCAACTTCACATAGTATCTAAAATTCTACGTCCAGTCGGAGGAAACAAACCGTGGAAAACATGCAGATTTTAGGCCCGGAAGATGGCGTGTTGATTATGCCTCCATCCTCGGGCAGATTTTGGAATAAAAGCATACTTATCGGTGTCCAACACTTGCCATATTTCTTGACCTGAAGGTGGCATTCGACTGTGTCAACCAAGAGGTACTGTGACAATGTCTGACCATGAGGAGAGAGTGACGAGGAAGTATATCACAATAGTCAAGCCAAAATACGAGAAAGTTAGAATTCACGGGTCACTGAATTTCGACCCAATTGACAGAATAGTAAACGAGGTTGAACTGGTAACCTCAAGGTCCCGGATTCCACCTCTGGTGTGGCCACGGGTGTACACTGCCAAAGAGTCACAAACTAGGACGAAACAGATGTCTAGAGCTTCCTGGTTTTCAATTATCTCTACGTGATGTTGGTTCGTGGCGAAATCTTCATTGAAATATGCTAGAACTTATGTGACCGTGTAAGAGCATATGGAGAGTTGTCGTATGAAATGATTACAACCAGCGGTGTACGTTAGGGATGCCCAATTTCTCCATTTTTTAAAAATTCTCGTCAAAGACGTGCTAATCAATGTAACCTGATCAACTTTAGCGACTCAGTGATAGACTTATTACCAGCGTATAGTTCCATCTGTTTACAGCATGCATCTGCTGCTGCCATACTAGTTTAAAACGCTGACAAAATGTAGGATGATAGGAAGAGACTCACCCCTGTCAAATGTAAGTTTGTGTCGAGCGCACTTTTAAAGATAGGAAGTGAAGTGCTTGAGCGTGTTGACCACTTCACTTCTTCGAGAAGTTGCGTCAGTCCCCAGTGAACTGATAACTGACAAAATCTCGGCACAGACACAAGTGGATAGTGTGGCATCTGCTAATTTACGTCATCTGTGGAGTAAACATAATATCCGTCTACCAAAGGACGTATGTAGTGAGCAGAGGTTCTCTTTGTCTCTCTTTAAGGTGGCAAAACATTCGATACAAGTTGAAGAATTGAAGAGGCTATTTTTCTGTGACTACAGCTGTTCGCGTTCTAACTCCCGTGTTAAGTGGAATAATATGCTGAGTAATTTTGAGGTTAGGCGTAGATTATTGGGTAAGGAAGGCAAGTCAATTGATAAGGTTGTGAAGTTACATCGATTAAGATGGCCAGAACACGTGTAACACATGGAGAACCACCACCTTCCTCGTCCGCCAATGCTGTCAGGCATACAATTAGGTTGGGAAAGAGTTAGAGGTATCAATCCATGAAGTCTTTGACAGCTGATGTGAACCGCATAAGGAGGTGAAGACTGCCTGACCGAGATCCTCGAGACGCCAAGAACCAACAGCTGGAGACTGTTGGTGGCATAGATTAATACCGGTCTCAATAGCACAAATACATTCATTCAGTGCCATTTCGTGGGTCTAATAAATTAACATTACTCTCTATAAACTTATTTTTCCTGTCGTGTATTTTCACTCATTGTAATTGCTTTGTCGTTTTGCCTCTACATGTGAGTGCTTTATGAGGTTCGGCAACTTGAACTGCTGCACTTTTGTGCAAAGTTCTACATTGAAATTCAGTCAGTTAAAGATGCATCCACTGTGTTTATTCCTTCATTAACTATTTGTAAACACGAAAAGTGGCAAAACCACAAAAGAATCATATTTAACTAATTTGTAAGCTTATGGGAGTGTGTGGGTGGTAACCACTTCTCAGTTAACCAGACTGTGAAAGTTGATTTTTTTCATGAAGTTCCTGAAACAAAAAGAGCATTAGTGCTGCGTAACTGGACAGCTCAATAGACAGGTGCTTGAGGCTGATCATGCACAAACCGTTTGAAGCGGTTTTTGGTGTTGTCCGTATGAAGACCTTACCGCCAGCTACAAGGTAAGTCAGGATAAAGTTTTTTGGACGCACTCTTTCTACCTCCCTCTTCCAGAGCGGAGAAGTAGCATAGATAGCCTGCTGGTCGTTCGAGAGAAACATTTTACTGCAGTTACACCCATATTTACCAGCAGTACGAACTTAAGCCTCAGTCTCCTAGAATAATGTCAACGAATTGCATTATGTTAACTGTTTCGAGTTCAACCACCACTCAAACGACCTTACCGGCATGCTATGACATGCAGGAAAGTGAGTTACAGCCAGTGTAGCTGGTTGTGGGGTCATTGAGAAGTGCAAGCGTAACCACCATGTCAAGGTAGCAGCTATCGGTCGAAATAGCACCCGTAGACGTAATTTTGGAACTGATTAAATGACATGTGCTGCATCAAATAACACTAGTCCTTTGCTCTCCCATACAGGATGAGTTGTTGTTAGACCTACAAAAAGCGACACAGCACCGTTAAATTTTGATCACCGATAAATGTAATGTATGTCAGCTGACACTCAGCATATATATATATATATATATATATATATATATATATATATATGAGACTACCTGGTAAGTCCTCTAAGTGCCGTTTTGTTAAAGAGAGCCTGTATGAAAACTCTGATACCCAAAGTTTATCTCGTTTGGATTTTTTAAAAACAGGAGGATATAAAAACTTGAATACAAGCGTAAATACACTGGAGGAAGGGAGAGAGACAGCGAAGAAACGTACCTGCTCGAGTATCGATTTCGGCCAGACGGGTTTCTCTTTCCAGAACACGGTTAACATTATCCTTCATAATGCCAACAACCTGAAAGTATGTCATTTTTCAGTAAATACAAAAAAGTATCACCTCTTGGACTTTGGCCTGCTGTTGACGAATTCTATCATCAGTTGGATAATTGTACTGATTCTCCATGATTAAATAAGGCTGATTGTACTATTGACTAGAGTTTCAATAAAGCAAAAATAAATGTTAAAATTCGATGATCAATTCATTTATGACATGAATTATTTTAATACTCAGCTAAAACATACGAAGAACACAATCCAACAATAAAAACATCACTGTGCTGAAGAACGAAGGCTATAGAAGCACAAATAACACTTAAATAGAATCTGCGACAACTAATCATGGAAGTAAGTAACTAGGGCCAACAGCCAGTTATTATATTAATCCAGAGGTTACATCACTGATATTGGACGAAATATGTGATAAACATCGAAACTATAGTTCGAAATCAATCGTTGGAATCAATATTAACCAAAGACTTGTTGTAAGGAGAATAGAAATGGAAAGAATCAAGTTTATCATAAAATTTTGGGTAATAAGGGTCTTATTAAACTTCGCAAGATAAGGAAATAAATGCACTTCATGTAATACATTTAAGTATGTGAGAAACCAGTACTACATAACTGAGTCATTTTTAACAGATATAATGTGCACCTGCGTCGTTTGGATTTGCATATATGGTACTTTTGATATCAATTTTAGTTTAAACATAAGATATAATCAATATTTATTGAATTTACACAACAGCTGGATTCTACAGAAGCTTCCTACGGACCTATCCAACAACTATGTGGTTAGTGTGAATTCAGTGTACACGCTCATTATGTTTTGGAATGAAAGTTTTCGTGACAGTGATTTAAATATAGGGAGCGCTAGAATACCGTGAGTTAATTTGAATTATGGCTGCATGAAGATAAGGAAGTCTGTTTACGTATGTTTATGCATCGTCTTCGTCGACGGGCAATGTTAGCTGAAATAGGATCAGGTTGGAAAAGAGTCAGTGGTGGTCAAAACAAAACATGGCATCAATCAATGAAATCCACAACAGTTAGTTTAAGCCAGCCAGCCAGCCAGCCACGTAAGGAGGTGTAGACTTCCTGACTGGTTGGGGTCCTCGGGATGGTAAAAACAAATAAAGGCTGGAAACAACTGGTGATGTGGCTCAAAACCATTCTCAGTGATGGCGCAGATGCATCCACTCCTTGTGATTTATAATGTTCAATAAAATTCTATTGTTCTTCCATATTACTATTCTATTGCCACATATCTCTGTTTTGAATCTCTTTTTATTCTCTTCTCTTGCTTTGTGTGCTACATGGAGGGAGTGTGGCAACTCGAACTGCTGCACATTGGTGCGAAGTTCTATGTTGGAATCAGTCAGGAAGTCTTGAACGGTAAAGCTGATTATCGCCAAGTAAAAGATTCATGGAGAAAGATTTCAAAATGAAGGAGGTAGATAACTCACTGGAAAATTTTAATTATCTTTACGTCCGCTATGGCGAATAGAGTCCTACGAACAGTGTCTGCGAACAGGTTGTTTCCCACGACAATTCTTGAAACAAGTCCGATCATCTAAACTCCCTCCTACAAAAAAGAACCTTCGTCGGATAACAAAGTTGCATATTGAATCCTCGTACAAATATCTTTCCAATCTGAAGTCTCATCTGGCTACGTATAATAATACCTTAATAAATGAGCTAAATATTACTTGCTGGCTCAAATTCATGAACTTCATCAAAGAATTACAATCCAGAACTGCAAAAGAATATGAAAATCAACTGACAAAAGCATCAGTTAAGGAAAAGTTAACTGAAGACTTCTCAGAAACACCTGAACGCTACGTGTGTTTGTGTGTGTCAAATTTACAATTAAGCAAATTTGAATTAGAAGCCTTATCTTTGGAATCCAAGTTTCACGTCCCTAAGAAGCACATAAACCGTATAGATACAGAAAAGCAATTTGAATACTTATACTATCAATTTCTGACCTGCAACCTGTGGACGAAGACAAACTGGTTGATACAGCCAACCAATACCACATATCACCATTCGAAAAACAAAAGATGCTTACTGAAGAGCATAGAACGGCACTAAAGAGACTATGTGAAAATGATGACATCGTCATGATTAGACCCGATAAAGGCTCTGGAGTTGTTATAATGAATCAAACTGATTATGTACATAAACTGTTGACAATTCTTAACGATCCCGATAAATTTCAGGTGGACAAAACTGAGAAGGATGCAACGTCATTCGAAAATAAAGTAAATGCCTCAAAGAACTCCTCATCAAGAAACTGACTGACAAAAAAACTTACAACGAACTCGGGTCAAAAGGTGGACGCCTCCCATTTATGTACGGTCTGCCAAAAATTCATAAGGCCGATGTGCCCTTAAGACCTATATTATCAATGATAAACACCATGCCACAAACTAGCTCGATGGCTAGCTGATTCATTGAAGCCAATTAAACAGAAATTTGCAAATCATAGTTTGGATGACACCTTCCAATTTTCTACAGAAGTCGACCATGTTGATATATCCATTAAACTAATGGTGTCAAACGACGTGACTGCCTTATTTAAAAGTGTACCAGCGATAGAAACAATAGACATCATTTGTAAACAAACAGATCTATTGCCATTACCGGAAACAGAGATGAAACGCCTACTAATTCTTTGCACAAAAGGCATCCAATTCTACCAACAAATTGATGGGGTCGCCATGAGTTCACCTCTAGGACCTATTCTGGCCGACATCTTCATGGGTTACCTCGAATAGACTCGAGTGAGTGACACTATCAATGAAACAACATACTATCACCGATATGCCGATGATGCGTTTTTTGTTTGTAACGAAATGAGTCGGGCATCCGTATTATTTGACCGCCTTAAGGAGATCCTCCCAAAAATAAAATTCACCATGGAATATAAACACAACGACGAGTTCAATTTCCTGGAACTAAATGTAAAAAGAAGAAACGATGGAACGGTTGAAAAGTCCATCTACAGAAAAGAAACCGGGACTGGACAATACCTTCACTACAACAGCTTTAAGCAGGGATTAGTAAGGACAATTTACTACAGATCCAGGAAGCTTTGTTCGCCTAACAAGGTAGGAGAATTAAGCTCTGTTGAAAAATGACTAATGGAAAACGGGTATCCAAAGGGATTTATCCTAAAGTACAGCAAAGAAAGAGATGAGAAAGCGAAGTATCCAACAGTTGAAAAGAAGAAAGTGTTCATTTGCCTGCCATACAAAGGAGAAGCAGCATCACAAAAGATTGACAAGAGGATGAAGGGAGCAATAAAGAGATGCTTCTCTGCAGCTAAGCTGGTGACACTATACAGCACTACATGCTCTATAAGTCAACCGAAACTGGATAAGTACCCTGCTGATGTTACCTCCAACTGCATTTATTAATTTACGTACACCTATGGCAGCAAGTACATTGGAAGGACAGAAATAAAGGCTTATATCCGGTTTTCAGAGCACATTCCGAAAAATTTATGCTTAAAAGGAAGCAAATATTTACAAAGTGCAATTACCAGACACCTTATGGATACGGGTCGTTTTGTCGAGATTTCCAAATCCTTCAAAATATTAAACATACAAAGGACAGCGAATCCACTACGATTTGCTGAAGCAATTGCAATCAAACGTTTCAGACCAAACTTATGTACACAGAAAGAGAGTGTAGTCAATCTCTCACACCCTTGGTAACCGTATCACTTTTTTACACTGATTACTAGTAAGCTCGGCTCACTAAGCAAGTTTTCAATTTGATGAACTTTTACCTTCTTGAGTTGCCATGTTGACGTACAAGCTATCACTATTTATTAAATTTTTTTGTTTTCTGTCTTCTCTCACCTCCCTTTTTTCAGTCTGATAGCATATAAACTGATAGTGACTTAATCTAAAAACTGTAATACTTATATTCCGGATGCTTTCATCTTATAATGTTTTCACTATTACCTTTCAAACATTGAAGTATGAAATGCTATTATTTATAACTGTTGTAATTTCAGGTAGTTTGCAGCTAATGAGGATCTGTGAAATAGAATATCATTTTAAACTGCAAGTCTGGTCTTTCTCTAAAGAAATTTATTAGGGGAAGGAAATGTACGAAATAATAAGATTGAAATCGTTAAGAGGACATCAAAGTTTCAAGAGTATGTGGTTCAGATGATTTTATTAAATACCTCCCTTATTCGCAATGAATATCAGCCAAATTTGGCTGGTCTATAATCAAATGCTTGTATAATTGTTCGAGATAAGAATTATTTGAGTGGTTGGTGTATGTGCAAGCGGTGATTATACGTCGTCAGGGAGAGTGAAAACATTCAGCATGGCCTACAGACTATAAATATAAGTGCAGCTAGCCTATTATACTGTTGTCTTCTAGCTGATATTAAAGTTTATCATATGTTGCACAGAAACAAAATTATTTAGAATCAAACAGCAGAAGGACGCGATTTTTCCTAAGGAACCGGAAAATACCTACTTTGTGAATTATCCCTCTTGAGAAACCTCATCTCCTCAGCCGGTGAATTAAATTCAACCATTACTTACATATTGAATCTGTGTGGTAAGTCCAGCTGTCTCGAACTACTGCCAAAGCTTCAGGTGCCACTTCTCTAGCAGCATCTTCCTCACTCGTTCAGATAAACAAGACTTGTTGGTCTACCACGTGATTGATGTGAAGCCGATCATCCAGAAAGTTACTAGGTAAAGTCGAAAACCTTTTCTTTTCCTTGTATTGCACTTTCCCAGTCTTATTCTTGTAGGTAGATACTGTTGCACTCTTATTCGTATATAGCATAAGTCACAGTGATTGTTAATTTGACTGTCGAAAGTAGCCTTAGGAAAAGCACTAAAACACCATACTCTGTAGTCACAAGGGCTTCAGCCAGAGAAGGCAAAAACCCAGGGACATCAACCCCTTCCCGCATACCGATCCTAAAGACTCGTGTAGGTCTCGTCTGTTCTGATACTACGCCTGCATTGCCACAGTCTAGTACTGAAACGGCGCAGGCAATACCAGGTGGACAGGATACTACACCTGCACCAACTGAAATCCAGTGCGTGAAACACAGCAAAACTAAAAGGAAACGCTCAAGACGTCATAAGACCTCGAAGGCGACATCAAGGAAGGG